GGTGGTGTAACTTCAGGACGAAGTGATGCCTTCATCATCCGAATCGGAAGAGAAGCCTTTGCCTGTGGTTAATTATTGTTTCCGTGCAATGCGCGTCAAAAAATCGCCGCTCATTATTTTTCCACTTGCTTTAGGATTTTGTAGTTGGTACGTAGTTACAGTTTCAGCGGCTACAGGTAATCCGGATGTAAATAGAAGACGAATTCACGAATTCGAATTCCGGCCTCGGGGCTTATTCGGAACTGAATCGCGAAATTTTGATTTGAACCCGCCCGCCGCAAGTATTCCTTCCAAAACTGTCCACCAATCCATTTCTTATCGCTTGGTACTTTTGCTGTTCTTCATGCTGTTCCGTAACAGATTTAAGATTTTAATGTATATGTCTCCTATATGAGGGCACGCCCCGCCTACGGTGGGCGGAGCTTGGCCTAAATCATTTGTGGTTCGCGCATCTTGGCCATACTTTCCCATCCCACCGTTGACTCTGCACCTCAAACTGGCTCCAAAACGCTTGAAACGCTCAACCAGCCGACGAGAGTGTGACCGGAACCTTTACCCTTTGAAAAGGTACACAAGGTGTATCTGTAAGGAGTGGTTTTTGCGTGAGGCTCTCAGCCGTGCCGCGAACAGTAACCGCTGTATCAATCTGCGAAGCTTTAAGCAGTGTGTTTGTGGAAAATGGAAGACGTGGACTAAATTTTTGTCGCGCTTTCAAATTTATTATTGTGGTATAATAGTTATCGATTTAGGACTGTACGACGCAAGTGTCGACGGAAACCGATGTCAACTCCTCATCTGTCAGTTCAGTAGAATCAGGATCTCAGCCGATGGAACTAGATCAGTTCGAATCGGAGGCTTCGGTGGCTCTGCTGAATGCATGTCAGGAAATCGCTGATAGTGAACAGGTTGTCGATGAGCGGCCTCGGCCAGTAGAGAACGGTAGTGGAAGGCTTGAAGAGAGTGAAGTTGAGAAAACAGCTCAGGAACAATGTGAGGGTCAGAGGTTGGTTCGCAGACATTTATACTTTTGGGAGCATTTTTTCAAAACAGCTTTTCCAGTACTGATTCTTCACCACCTGAGCGTCCATCCTCTTCTCCATTAGAGCGTCCATCATCCTCAGCCAGTCGGTCAAGCACTCATGAGACGGGTGCAGTTGAGTTTAACTCGGAACTGCGGTGCGAACATGGTTAGCTTTCTGTTATTTCTTGGTGCTCTGTATTTCTAGTCAGAAGTAGACGATGCTGATTCAGGTGGCATCAATCTTGACGAATTTCGCCAGGCAGTCAGTCCAGAAGAATGGAAGCAGCTGTCATCTTACTTTGACCCAACAACCACGTTTGTAGTGCGATGTGACGAGCCAATCTGTCAGCAATGTGAACAGGAATTTAATGTGAGAGCTGTTATAATGGGAGACGGGCGAGATAATCGTGATTTGTCGCGCGTGGCGTGACGTTCGGCGATGCGCGGCATGCTTGATGTGTATCAATAGGTCCATTAGAGTAGCGAAACTTGCACGAACTCGCGCGGAGACAGGACTCTATTACGGGCAATATCGGGTTTTCCCCTCTCTACGTCTCTATTGAACTCATATTCAAACGAGGCTGGACAACTCTTCTGTTGGGTGATGTCGCTCGCCACGCCCACCGACGCGCCATATTACGATTGTCTTGTCACATATCCTATCACAATGACGCCATACCACAGTTGAAAGTAAAGAGAAATCAAAATGCAAGAGGAAAAGGAAGAGATCAGAAGTTAGAGAAAAGCTGCGTGCTCAATTGGGAGGGGGTCTGTATGGGGAGGGGTGCGCCTTGTTAGCTCCTCTCAATATACCCAAGATTTCTCCAGCTTCTCTCTTCTTGCAACCTCGGCATGTTAGTAGTAAGTGTCCTCGCGAGAGCATCCAAATACGGAAATAACTGCGAATAAGTCTTTGAGTATAGGGAAAAGGGATAATTGGCGAAGAAATTATCTATACTCCGATTGCAATTGCACCTACTTCTTTTATGAATTATAGGAAAACCCTCCACTCCCCCTAAGGCGGTTGAGCGGACATTGCCCCTAGTTGTTCAACGATCAGTGCTGTCCCAGAAAAGGCTTTCCATCCAGCGGGTAGTCCCACGTCACCTTTGATCGTCTGCTCTCTCTCTCTCTCTCTCTCTCGCCAGGAAAGTGCGCCATGTTTTGAAATGGCCTAGTCTCAATCTCACATAGATAAATACTGATGTACAATAGTCTTCTCAGATCTCATGACGGGGCTAAGCCCGCAAGATAATGCCATTCCCCTCCACCCAGAGGCATTACAGCGCCTTTGTTATTGAAAAACTTGTTGATCCCGCCAAGCGTATTAGGCGCGTGGCCTTGTGACGCGGCAGAGCGAGACATGGCGCTATTTTCCACAATGGTGCATTCGATCGCTGTAGTTTTGGTGGGGAAAAACCTGCCCATGGGCTCCACAGCCGCTCTCTTCACAAACCATATCGTTTGCAGGGATTCTGATTATGTGTAGTGGATGTAGCAAGTTTGCGGAGAACAGTAACCAAGTTTATAACAGCCGGAGTCTGAAGTTGGGGGTGGTAGTCACATTAAGGGTTCCCTTGCTGAGGAAACTGTTACAATATTGTGAATCTTCAGGAACAACAGTGGGGCAAACAAGAACTGAAGGAGTCGAATAAGGGATCTTCGAGGGCGTATTGGTGAGCTTTTACGGGAAATCGACACGCCGGCGGGCGCTCCTACGGGGAAGAGTACGCAGAATCTTACTCATCGAGGGATCTGTAGCGATTGCCTTATCCAATTTGAACGGCATACGAATAATGGTAAGTTGTCAGTGTTACTTTTCCAGGCCTTAGAGCGTACATGTTCCTCTTTATTCCACTTTTTTCCAGGGCTCGAACTTCATCCCTTGTTCTTCCATCAATTTGCCAGGATTGTGTTATGTGTACGCACGGGTTACCAAATGTAGGATTAGCTTGCGATATCGCTAATGTCCATATCGTTGGTCTTACGGAGCAGGAGTGGACCAAACTCTGTGAAGAGATTTCTGCTGGATTAGGAACAACAAACGGCGCAGAACCTCCAAGGCCTAATCACGATTTTGGAAAAAGCCGTCAGTTTTACTCTGATTATGTGCCTTCGATTTAACTAGTAGTGAATGAGTTGTGTTGAAGGACGGATAGAGAACATGTGTGAAGGATGTTTTGGTGAACGATTAGAAGCCCTGAATATTCAGCGCTATGTTTACGACGATGCATTCATCTATGTCGCTTTGGTAAGTCAGAATTTCTTTCGTCCCACTTTTGTTTTGATGGATTCATATTGGCCCGACTACTATGCACAGGGCTGGGGCTCGAATCTCTGCGCGAGCGGCACATGCCGCGACCCTCCCCACTCCCTCCCCCCACCCCATCCTACCTAACTTCTCCAATTTTCCTTTTTTTTCGGGAATTCTCACGCCTTCTCCAGAAAAAAACTGCTCCGTCGGGCGGGAAGGGGTATGAGGTAGGAAGCGCCTTCGAAATATGAGAAATCAAGAAAAGACACGCATACTATTTCTCCTCCCTCCCGCGACAAAATACCAACTCCCCAATAGTGATCTAAGGGTTCGACGTGCCTTTATTGGTGCAATCCATCAACGGGAAAGGGCATGTGGTTCATTTCTGACGACATGCCGGGCCATTTTGTAGAGACTCATGGACCAAAAAGATACGGGCTTCTACCATCAATTTATTTGTGTGAAAATTGGTTCGAAAAAACTGATGATTTCCCGGGAACTGATGGATCTACAAGAGGGCAGTTTGGCTCGGTGGAGGCTGCAAATGGCTCAGCAAAGCCTTTTTAGGCCGCTTTATGAAGACCTATGAATTTATGTAACCACATTGGCTTCCCATTCACCATTTCGCAGCTGCACAGGAGTTCACAGGTTCTACCAAAGTGTAGCCCATTGACTAGCAGAAGGAACAAGCAAAAGCGTCAAGTGCCCCTCGTAAGCCGAACAGTGCCCTACAAGTGCTCACTAGTGTCTCTTTCCCGTGACCTAACGCCGCCTCCATTTTCATCGAGATTCGTTTAGAGTGAGGATGGCGCCATTAGTGCTCCGTTGTCAAAGACCACAAGGCGGACTCAGAAGAACAAGTGCTTTAGAGTGAAAGTGAGGTTTTCCTTTACAATGGTTTTTTTAGCGCTGGGATTAATTGAAACCACTTCAGATGTCGTCTACGGATACAATCAAGGATCTAAAGATTCAGCTTTATAAGCAAACTGGTCAAACTCCTAATGATCAATTACTCTATCGAGAGTTAGGTGGTTCCCTTCTCGATGGCGATTCGACGCTGTTTGAAGCTCGTATCGAGAAGAACAATGCAGATCAAGTTAGTTTGCAGTTCGTTGAAGACACTGGGCACGATGGGGGCGGGCGATTGCTGCCAACGTCATTGGTGGAAGGTTGAGTGGGGTGTGGCCAAACTCTCTCGCAGCCCTTCCACCAATGACGTTGGCAGCAACCGCCCACCCACAACCATGGTGCCCACTTCCTTTATGTTCGGAAGGCCTTCCTCGTGAATTTGAATTCATTTCAGCCTTTGATTCTCATTGCCCAGTCGATGTCTGCTGTCTCGGCGAAATACGATGAGCAGCAACCTCGAGCTCCAGAGCGTGGTTTTATTGATACAGCCCTCGCTCATTGATTCTAATATCTGTATGTAAGATACTTTATCTTGAGTTAATCGAT